AATCATGACAGTAGTGACTCCTATTTCCGAACGAAAAACGTAGTTGTCCTATGTTAGAATTTCAAAACTTATTTACCCCTATTTATGGCAATATTCATAGCTAAAATTGTGTTACACAATAAGTCCAACCAATTCAGCCATAAAAGTAACTTCAACCTTACTTAGTGTCTGTTTGCAAACGCTTAAAAAAACGTTTCTCGGCTTTTGGCTTGAAAGCTAAAATTTGTGTTTTCAAGTGACAACTTCTACTTAAAAGCGTTTCTCGGTTTATGGCTGAAAAATGTTTTTTACTTTTTCTATTACACAAAAAGTACATATTTTACCAAACACTACCAACTTTTACTTTTCAAAATCACTTTTTTTCTCAAACACTATCAACTTTTTTTTATCAATCACGTTTTCCAAAATCACTTCAAAAAATGTTTTTTAAAAGCAAAAGCATTTGCAAACACTTTCTTATTATAATTATTAAACAATTCGGCGCCGAAAATAAAAATCTTATTTGTTTCATAAAAGTGTTGGCCGATAGGACTGATAAACTAATAAGGTGTTTTATGATGAAAAACAATCATTCAAATGATTGGCATTTAAATCATACTCAGCTCCCTCAGCCTCATTTTATAAGATACCTATCTTATTCATTTGGTCAACACACATCACTCTTAATCTCTTACTTTATATATCAAAATTTTATGAAATTTGAATTATTTTTTGCTGGTTTTGTAGCGATTTTAATGTAGTTTTTGAATATGTAAATTTTATTTTCTAAAACAAATTTGAGTGTTGACAGGGATCAATTTGCTTTTTCGTCAGTCAAACATCGTAAACTGTAAAGTGTCTTAAAATTCGAGACGAAGGGAGTATATCATATTCTAGCGAACAAATGATGATTACGTACCCTATTATAAAAGGATGACACCCTAGCTATCTATGAAGGCCCCCTACATTGTTTGGACAATTAACTGGCAGGGTGTAATTGGACTTTAATTAAGTACTTAGATGTTCTATAAATTTTAAATAATAACATTTCCTCACAATTGTCAGGATTCGAATCAAAGATTTATTACACCTTGTGACACTCCTATCTACTCTCTCAGTTACCCCTGTTATGAAAAAAACCCAGTAAGGTAACAACCTACCACTAGTCCTCACTTGAGAAAAAGTTAATTTTTAATAAAGTTGTTTACATGTCGTTCAAAAAAACTAAAGTTGTTTACATTAATATTTAAGTAAAAAAGTATGACTTCTTTGGTAGAGAATAATTAATCTTTTTCTATCTTTTATTTTCAAAATAGATAATCTTTTTCTATCTTTTATTTTCCCAACCAAGTTAATCTTTTTTCTATCTTTTATTTCCTTTTCACATTTGATTTAAATGATAAATACATGAAGATGAGATGGACTACTATTTTAACTCATTTTCCATTTCTAAAATACAAAACTTGATCAAATAAAATAATAAACTTGTGAAACCAAATTAAATCAATTAAACTAAATTGGACCTAAAAATTTTCACTTTGGTGATCCGGACTTAAAACCAAATTGAACCAAAATTGAACCGAAACCAAACTAAACTACAAATGATTTTAGTTTCGTACAATACCTCCCAAATAGAATAAACCGAAACCAAAACGAAATCGATGAAAACCGAACCATAAATTAATTGTCCACCCCTATGACAAAGTATGAAATATTTAATCAATATGGCTATGTGTGCAATCTTGGAAAATCCTTTCAACAGTTGACATTTTTGTATGAAACCATAAGATTTATAACTTCTCCCACACATTGGGAAATAATTTAGATTTCAGTTATATTAAAAACTTATTAGCATGAAACCTCTCACAAAGTGTCACACATTATAAGTGCTTTTTCACACTTCCTAGTATTATATTGATCACACTTTTGATACTCGATTTTGAATTTTTTTCACCTTTACCGGGGTTTATTGTATATTGATTGTGGTTGACTTTTATTAATCCACGGACTTTTAAAAAAGTCAATGAACTTTTAAATTCATAGACTTTTTTATGAATGAATTCTATTAACTTTTAAATCCATTGATAAATTTATAGACTTTCAAAAAGTCCATAGTCTTCTAAATTCGGACCGCAACTACCGTTCATCAGAATTTTCACCTAGATTGTCGTTACCATCTACATGCGAACCTTCATCATCGGAGTCCGCCGCCGCCGTCATTGGATTAATCCACCACCCATAAAATGACTTTGATCATGCAAGGGAACTAGGGACAGTTAATTATATTAATTAATTAAAATAAGGCTAGAAATGTAATATCTAATCCTATTTAAGGAAAATCAAACATATGATCATACTTTGGAGAAAATGCTACGGAGTATGTTTTAGTCCTACCATTAGCAATTTCTTTGTATAATATGATTAGAAGCAATTAAATAAATGAATGAAATAAATGTAATTTATCTAACAACGCAAAGTTCTACAAGAATAAATGAAGCATAAGAATCCAAATTTATTTTTATTAAAAAGAAAACTCAAAGTTTCGAGAATGCTCAACCATGCATCTCGGTCTCTTTATGATCAATCGTTATATATAACTTATATTACACAACTCAATGAGTAAGAACATTAATCGTTACACAAGCGTTACACTCATTGCTAGATCTGGTACAAGCATAGGTGCAATCGAACTTTTCTTTTTAATAATCATTTTCTTTTCATTTTTAGTTTCTTAAATTTTGTATACTTATTTACAGTTAAAAATTTATTAATTTGAAATTATATTTTTATGTGTTAGCAATTTAATGATGAAACACAGTAACAATAAAAAAAATTCTTGATGGTCAACAGACAACGTACCAGAATTGCATCGATGTATTACTATCGACTCTTATAACAGTTTTAATTTTCTAAAAACTTTTAGAACCGGTATGTGATTAACGGTTCTTCAATTGGTTCCTAATTTTCTTTCAAGAATTGAACTGACTTATCTTATTCATAGTAAATTTCATAATTGACGCTCAGATACTGATACCATGTTAATACATACATTTTGATCTAAAAAAAATCAATTTAGGAGAAAATCGCTTGAGATCTTGTGCAATACGGTATTTTATTAGTTCATATGTTACTTGTATGAGAAATACTCTTACCTCATTTCATGTGTAAGAAATTTTTACCCGTCCAATTCAACAAAACATGATATTCTAGTAAGAGAAAACTTCATGTCAGGCCGGCCTGACGGGCTGCCCCGTCCGGCCGAGCCCGTTTGGGCACCTTCCCGGTGGAATTTTTTGATGAAAATTTTTGAGCATGTTCCTCATCAAGTCTAGTTTGTCCATACCAAATTTCAGCTCAAAATGCGATCGGGAAGGTTGTTAAATGATTTTTGCAAGTTAACTGGTCCGGAATATGTATTTTCCGGACCAGTTAACTTGCAAAAATCATTTGACGACCTTCCCGATCGAATTTTGAGCTGAAATTTGGTATGGACAAACTAGACTTGATGAGGAACATGCTCAAAAAATTTCATCAAAAAATTCCACCGGGAAGGTGCCCAAACGGGCTCGGCCGGACGGGGCAGCCCGTCAGGCCGGCCTGATGAGAACAGCCCTCATTCTAGCAATGCAATAAAAATAAATAAGGAATATTTGGGTTTATGTACGTAGTATAGTAAAACTTTAAATAAGTGCAGTTAAATTTATGTCATATATATATATATATATATATATATATATATATATTTGATTAAATAAAACAAATAGCCTAACTAACTTATTTATAAGGATAAAAATAACAGTTACCGTATGTTAACTACAATTATGCAGCCTAAGAGCATCTCCAGTGCTACAATGTGCACGGTGCATATGTGGCATGAGAGAGATAGACACAAAAAATTGAATCTATGACATTTCTCTCACATTCTTTCCACGGTTTTATGTGTTTTTGGTAAGTTCCCCCTGCAATGTCAAGCACAATGTCTACATCTAGACATTGTGCTTGACATTGTGAAGAAAAACTTACCAAAATGATACAAGATCCTTCAAATAAAGAGAGAGATATTCTTTTTATTATTTTTTAATTGGCTATCTCTCATGCCACGTATGCACTATTCACATTTTAGCATTGGAGATGCTCTAATATTCACTACAAAAGTGTTGTCTACATAAAAAACATAATGTAGGTTATTACTTTGTCTTCTCATATTTATTTAAGCTATAGAGTCATTTAAATAAATAACTAGAATTTGCATACCTTGAAAGTATGACTATGTTTGGTAGGCATAAGTTTCTGACTTCTAGCTTTTGTAATGTTCAAAAAATCTTTAAAAGCTTCTACTTATATGTTTGGCATGACAATTTTTAGGAGCTTTTAAAAAATTAAAAGATCTTTTTGAGATGCTACAGACAGTAGCATCTGAAAAAAGCCCGTGACTTTTAGTATTAATTAGCCCTAATAGCTTGTATAACAAATCGAACTAAATCAAACAGTCAGCTTTTTATCAAACAGCTACCACCTTTTCATTTTAAGATCTTTTCAGTCACCAAAAGCTAACAGTTATTAAAAAGCTTACAAAAGTATCTTTTCAGCTAGTTGTGCCAAACATACCCTATATTAGAGTTACTTTTAATCCACAATGTCAATATTATGATAAAACTTGATACATACTCCGTAACATTAATCAAAAGCGAGCGCGTACTTTTACTTTTGAACCTGTAAATAATACGAAGTACGTCACATTCCTAACAATTTTGAATAATTAATTATGATGGTTAGAAATTTCAAACCTTACTGGTAGAATAGCTGTTGACAATTTTGAGCAGGTAATGACCATTTCATTTGCTTTAAATACCATAAGATATACTCTGTATTATTCTTTTTAATTAATACTCCGTAATAATCTTAGCGTGTAAGAAAAACAAGTCCACTAACCTTTTTACTTTTGCTTAAAATAAAAGAGGGCCAACTTCTCCTAAATTTTCATTATCATCATCATTAAACGATTTACTATACCAGCAGCTCTTCCTCCATTCTTCAAATCACAGTATCATTTCTTACCTCTTTGTTGCCCCAAAGTCTCAATTCTGTGACAAACTAATGGAGGCTATGTTCCAAGAATTCTTTACCCCATCTAGTGAATTAGTCTATTGTCACCTCTCTACCCCACAGGATCCAAGGTTTGTAAGTGGACAAAGATCCTTCAATCCTAGTAGTGGTTTCTCAGTCATTGATGATAGTCCCCCCCACAACAAATCTGCTACAACAGAAGAAGATCAAGATGAAGGAGACTACCCAAATGCGACTCTAAAGTACATAAGCCAGATGCTTATGGAGGAGGAAGACTTGGAGAACCAGCCTTTCATGCTTAGTGAATGCATGGCCCTCCAAGCCACTGAAAAACACTTCTCTGACGTGCTCAACGGAACTGATAGCCTGCCCGATGCACTCTCGTGGAGCGACCGATCACCTTCAAAGGGAAAGCGGGAGCACGAGTACTCATCGTCTGACAATGAGTCTCCAGAAACCCACCAAAGGAACAAGTACTTGGCGCCAAATTATTTGGAAGAATCTGAGCCATTGGAATATATGTGCTATGATGTCTTGCTTGATCCCGGTTGCAGAAGAAACATTGCTGCCTGTTTGTACAAGAAAATGGACAATAAGGAACCCAAAGCGGGTGGAAAACCCCGACGTGGCAAGAAGAAACCACAAATCAGGAAGGAAATCATAGATCTCAGCGGCTTACTCACCCTATGTGCACAGTCTGTGGCGATTTATGACAGCGGGACGGCTAATGAGACCCTGAAGAAGATAAGGTTACACTCTTCTCCTTACGGGACCGGAACCGAAAGGATGGCGTTCTATATTGCCAATGCGCTCGAGGCACGCTTAAATGGAACTGCAACATCACTATACCAATTATCTCACCATTTCAACAAAATATCAGCAGCAGACACCTTGAAAGCTTATAAGATGTTTATCAATGCATGCCCCTTCAATGTAGTATCAACTATGATGGCAAACAAACGCATTATGAAGCTTGCAGCACGAGCAAGCAGGCTGCACATCATTGATTTTGGAATTCTGTATGGTTTTCAATGGCCAAGTCTCATTCAAGGTCTCTCGATGAGGCGCGGTGGGCCTCCAACGCTTCGCATTACAGGGATAGACTTTCTGCTGCCTGGTTTCCATCCCGAAGAGCTGGTCAAGGCCACGGGCTTGCGACTCGAAAAGTACTGCAAAGGATATGGCGTCCCATTTGAGTTCAAATCGGTGGCAAAGGAATGGGAGAGTATAACACTCGAAGACCTCGATATTGAAAGGCGAGATGATGGCGACGTCCTGGTTGTCAACTGTTTGGACATGCTAGGAATCGTGTCGGACGAGACGTTGGTGCCAAATAATAGCCCAAGGGATATTGTGCTCAACCTCATCAAGGACATCAATCCAGATATGTTCACCCACGGGGTGTTGAACGGGACGTTCAACGCCACGTTCTTTGCCACACGATTCCGTGAGGCCCTCTTTCACTTCTCCTCACTGTTCGACATGTTTGATGCGACTGTGCCAAGGGAAGAAAATGACAGACAGCTATATGAAAAAATGATTTTTGGAAGAGATGTGCTGAATGTGATCGCTTGTGAAGGAACGGAGAGAATCGAGAGGCCTGAGACATACAAGCAATGGCAAGTTCGAAGCCTTGGGGCCGGATTCCAGCAACTACCACTCGATCAAGATATAGTCGATTGTGTACGGGAGAAAGTAAAATCGGATTACAATAAGGATTTCTATGTGGAGGAAGACGGGAATTGGTTGTTGCAAGGATGGAAAGGAAGGGTTCACCATGCTGTCTCCTGGTGGAAGCCTAATAACAACTAGTGAAATAGTTTGTTTTAATGCTGAATAGCCGTGTCTCTTTTTCTTGCAATTATCTTTATGGTTAATTAAGTTCATTCAGTTCCATATTGTCAGCGTGGAGACAGGGAGGGACTGGAGGGAACATCGGTCCTCCTAAGAAAAAAAATTAAGTATGTATTATGTATAAAGAGTAGTATTCTCATCAGGCTGGCCTCACGAGAACCGTCATCAAGTGTAGATTATCTCTACAAAAATTCAGATTAAAATTCAGTCGAGAAGTCACTTGAATAAATTATTGAAACATACTGCGTATTATTAATATACATACAACGCAGTATGATTTAATATTTTATTTGACTTCCCAATTGAATTTTAAGCAGAAATTTTGTGGAGATAATCCACACTTGATGAAGAATATGCTCAAAAACAATTCCCACGGGGAAGGGCCCCAAATGGCCTCAGCCTAACGGCGGTTCAGCGGTTCCCGTCTGGCCTTGAATTGTTCTCTATGTATAAATAGTTTTAATTTATAGAAAATATATGTTGATGTTTTATAGAAAATATTTTCAGGGTCCGGCCTCTCTAATAATAGATTTCTGGCTCCGCCAATGAATATTATCATACTTAACATATATTCGTGTATAAAATAATTAGGTTAGAATAAGATGGTCATATAGTAAGCTAAGGTAGCTGGGAATTGCTTACCATACACTTCTCTTGGAATCTCCAAACGCCAAGAAACTCAAACAAGACTGTATGCAGGTTAGTCACTTTCTTTTGCATGGTCACAGAACTTAAAACGTTTTTAGGCCTAACATCATAATACGTGTGCGGATCGGATAAGAGTTCTCTTGTTGCAGCCCCGTTTCGTCGGCGAATATGGAGATGGAATCGAGTTTCGGATATTCGTTTGAGTTTTCTCTTTTCGGCCTGGAAAGCTTTGTGGACAAGTACAAGACGATGGAGATTAGCGCAGAGGAAGAAGAACTGGATCTGAATAAAGCTGATGTTGAAGTTGTGGTGGATGAACGGTGGGCGCGTCGCCCTCCTGAGCCGCCGCCATGGAGTGCAAGTAAATCTAGGGTTTGGAAGAAGATGGATGAATTCGTTTTTAATTTCGTTTTATTCAGTTTGTGTTTTTCTGTCGAATTGCTTGTTGTTTGGTTCAGTTTTGTTTTTTGTTTTTGCTTTATTCCTGTTTGTAAGACGTTGTTTTTGGATGTGGGGGATGAGAGAAATATGGTGACCGTTTTTTGCTTTTGGCCGGTTTCCCACTTATGGATCAGCGAATTATATTGCTTCTCTGGAGGTGATTAATTCCGAGTCTGGTTCGCGGGATAACGGTTGTCAGATTTATTTTTGTCGTTTGACCCATACTCTGAATTATCTGTTATCAATGTAAGCCGAATTCTTCCAAAAAAAAAAACGTGGAGCAATAAGTAATGTTTTACATTAATACTAAAATTATTACATATTAATGAGCATGCTCATTTTTATTGTGAGGAGGCTGATCGGTGACTGATGAAGAAATCGTTGATTTTTAAAGAAGGGAGAATTTGACTTTGCACCTCATGTTTTGGTTAATATTGGACTTTACACCACATTTTCAAAATCATTAATATTTGCACCCTATTTCACTATATAATCATTTGACTTTGCACCCCACTCTTTCACAATTTTTGAGCTAATGATATGGGGTGCAAATATTAATGATTTTGAATATGGGGTGCAAAGTCTAATATGGCCTAAAACATGGGGTGCAAAGTCAAATTCTCCCTTTAAAGAACTAGAATGAGGGAAGGGTAATTAACATTTACTGGGTAAAGGGAAACCTAATGGACGACTCACGACTTGAGGAGACTGATCGGTGACTGATCGAAAATGTATCTCCTTCACAAATATTTTCAAGTTATTTTATATGGTTTCTTCCTAACAATGTCTAGGGTTTGTGTAGTTCTCGTTGATAAAACCGGCCGATCGGGCGTTGAAATTTTAATGTAAGTGGATGACAATGCTGATCCTGCTTAATTTGTTTGGGAGATTAACTTCAGACATCACCGACTCCAAGACTTCAATTATTCGCCCTCCTCCTGAACCACCACCATGCTATGACAAAGAGATAATGTTTGATTGTATCTTCTTTTCGGTGGCTGGTCAAACCGGTGATATTTACAATTTCTTACTAGTAACTGGTCAAACTGAGGATTCTAGTTGTTTCTTTCTTGCGGTTGGACAAACCAGATTATCTATTAATTTTTTCCTAGTCGGTGGATGGTGAAACCAATTTATATGTTTTTTCTATCGCAGATAAGTACTATGTCTAGTATCGATTATTGGTTAAGTAGCAGGAGCTTCTATGTTGATAGAGGAGTCTACATCTTTGCAGGGTTGGCGAATTGTTATGTTCCTTTGAAACTATTCAGTTCTATATCTTATCCCATTGTAGCTTAGGCTATCATCATTACTTTTGTACTGATCATTTTTATAATCAATAAATACTAGTAGTTGTTTTTCTTTCAAATTAAAAAATAAAACAGAATGAGGGAAGGGTATGTTGAGTAGGAGGTTGGGTACGGTGAAACACCTGATAAACTCGACATGGTTTGGGATAAATCATTTCCACCATCCATTGTATAGATCTAAGGGCTTGAGACATATATACCTTTGCATTTCGGTAATAAAAAGAAACTTTTTTTATGCAATACTTTGAACGTTAATATCCAACTGTATTGTATTGTATAAAGATTTATACAATAAAGACAGTTTATACCGGATCCGTCTATACAATTAATCATGTCCCGGATATACTCCGAATATGATAAAGCTAAGCTTCTGACATAGTGACATGCTCTTAAATGCGGGCAGGCTTCAATTCGTGGGCATACGAAAACTTCAGATCTCATTGTTATTAGAAGGGTTTTGCTAGAGGTACACGTTTTGTGTACATGTTTTGTGTACACATGTCTGTCCTTCACAGACAAATTGTCTGTGACAGACAATTTGTCCGTGACAGACAATTTGTCTGTGAAGGACAGACATGTGTACACAAAACGTGTACCTAAAGCATTTTTCTTATTAGAAACATGCTTGGTGTACACTTTTCGTACACTCATCTGTCTCACGCACACAGAGTTGTCTGTATAAGAGAACTCTGTAGGCCTTACAGAGTTGTCTATCTACAAACAACTTTGTGTGTGTGAGACATGCGAGTGTACGAACTATTAGTATAATCCATCCAAAGTTAGCAAAGCAAAATAAGCTACGGTAAAGTATAGAGTATGATTCAATTCACACAAATGTTAAAGTTCGGGATTGATAACCCTTATTTTTAGTTTATGAGTTATATTTTGTCAAATATATAATTTTTGATTTTATTCGTTGAGTTGTACTTCCTCTATCCCTTAAAACTTTGTCAAGTTTGACCGACACGAGGATTAATGCACGAGGAGAGAGAATTAACTGGAATCACAAATTCTTTATTAAAAAGGAAAAATGACAAAGTTAGTGCTACAACAAAAAAAGTTGATAAAATTTTAAGAGACAGATGGAGTGTAATAATAAAAATTAGTCAGGTTAGAGTTACTCTTCTGACTAAAGCTACTATAGAGGAGTACTTAGTTTCATATGTTTTCATATATATATTTTTCTTAATTTAATTTATAAATTTTTCTTTTTTTTATAATCAGCAGATTGAGCCAAATTCTGCCAGAATTTCATGAGATTTAGTATTATCAAACAATCTCGAAAACACATGGATGACTTTGGAACAACTGGTCAAGATAGCATTAAGAGCATCTCCAATGCTAAAATGTGCATTGTGCACACGTGGCATGAGAAATAGCCACATAAATATTAGTAGATAAATTATTTCTCTCCTTATTTGAATGATTTTATACAGTTTTGGTAAGTTTTTCTCCACAATGTCAAGGAGACCGTCTAGATGTTGACATTGTTATTGACATTGCAGGGAAAAACTTACCAAAATTGTTTAAAGTCATTCAAATAAGGAGAGAGATAATTTATATGCTAATATTTATGTGGCTATCACTCATGCCACATGTGCACCGTGCACATTATAGCATTGGAGATGCTCTAAGCTTTACTTTACGAGAGAATGTCTTCTTTAATAGGACTAAATCTGCTCCGTTTTCTAAAAATAGAATCACGTAGTTTAAACTTCCATAAATACTTCTTCCGTCTCATTTTACCTGTCTTACTTTCATTTTTGAGTTGTCCCAAAATAAGTGTCTCATTTCCCGTTTTGGAAAGAAATATGTGGTTCACAAAATTTCACTTTATTATACTCAAATCTCAATCACAACTTTTACCTTTTCAACCACTTTATTAAAAATTGTGTCAAAAGCAAAGGAGACACATAAAATGGGACGGAGGTAGTACGTTTTTTTTTTTGTTTTTTGTGATTGGACATAAATACTTTGATAAGGTTGGAGCTATAGCTCCCAAATTGCCCAAGTCGCCAGACTGTCGCTTGCCGTAGGACCACCGGTTGTCATAAATATTTTTCAAGAGAGTTCCTCCGTCCGCCGAAATCCACCACGCCAGAGTTACTACCACCATCATGGACTGCTCTGCGACGAACAGGCTAACTTTGATTATGCAAAGGAACTAGGGGTAATTAATTAGGTTAATTATGTAATTAACTAACTAAATTAGGGATAGAAATGGAATGATTAGTATTTAAGAAAACCAAACATATGACCCTATTTTTGGAAGAATGCTACTCCCCTCATCTTATTTTACTTATTTTACTTTCCTTTTTGGGTTATTCCAAAATTAGTGTGACATTTTCTTTTTTTGGAATAAAATATGTGGTCTGTAGCATTTCACTTTATTATATTCAAATCTCAACCACAACTTTTACTATATTCAACCATTTTAGTAATATTGTGTCAAATCAAAACAAGACACATAAAAGAGGATGGGGGTAGTATTTTTAGTCCTACCAAGAGCATTTTTCTCTTATTTTAATATAACCCTTTTGACAATGGGATAAATGTGAGTGATGCACTTATTCAGAAAAGTGAAAATGTGTTATTAATTAAATCAATAGAGTATGAATGAACTAAGAGTGAATTATAATTATCCAAATATTATCAAATATATGATAGTGGACAAATTTAAGATAGGAGAAGAAAGGAGTAATTAATCCGTAGTGAGAACATGCTGCCGGCTAGCTTCACAAGTCTCCGTTTGACATGATCACAGGAGCTTAATTAATGGGTTGCCAGTTTACCACGCTAAGCTAATGCGATGTTCGACGAAGGCTCCAGTCGCTTAGTGTTTAATTTGCACTTTGTTTTTGCAAATTGCAAGGCATTTGTCAACGTATAATAAGACTCCTTAAACTATCTATATATGAGAAACCTTTTGTAGCCAATATCGACTAAAGAATGGAATTGGTCGGAATGAAAAATAATACTTCCTCCGTTCTTTATTATCTGTCTCGCATTCCATTTTGGGACGTTTTTTATTA